ATATTTATACATATCTACTAGTGCTGTCAAATGATTAATCGCGATTAATCACATCTAAAATAAAAGTTTTTGTTTACATAATAGATGTGTGTGTACTGTGTATATTTATTATGTATTTATAAATACAAACACTGTCACGATTGCCAACGGAAGGGAACGAGGAACGCAGTAGAATCACAATCAACAGTCTTTTAACATCCGAAGCAGGGATACATGCAGCACAATGGACGATAGACACCGGACAACGGAAACACGGAGCAGAACACTCTATATACATGACTTGACGAGACACACCTGGAAACAATGAACAATTAACACGAGGGAGAAACTAAGTCAGAGCAGGCACATGGGGGGACAACATGTTGGGGTGGGCTAGCAATGCATTCTGGGGTAATCTTAATTTTTCAGTAGTAATACTCACATTTTTCGAGTGTAAAATCAAGTCTTCTCCAAAGGCGAGATCTTCGAGCAGCTGAACAGCTTCTCCTTCGTGCAAACGCTGAGGAAAACCGTACTAGGTAGAGTTGTCCAGTTATATAATCATAACAAAAAAGTGAATTTTTTTATATGCCTGAGGGATGAAACAAAAGGGGGAAATAAATTAGATTTAAAGGCACAATATGTAAGATTTTTTTTATTAAAATATCCAAAAACCACTAGAACAGTGTTATATATTTTGCTGACTCGTGTACTTACATTATCCCAAATGTTTCGAAGAATGTATAAATCCAGAGAAATAAGCAATTTTAACTAGTGACACGCACCGTGTCTATAGTGTCATTGTGTCGCCTGCCAGTGACGTCATAACCCCTCGATTTTTGTTTTGTAGAAAACATGGAAACACCAAAGACGCTTTATGTTGTGCGTTTTAATAGACCGGTGACGACTGCACAGAGTAGCATTATAACAGAACTTTCAAATGTATCTAGTATGATAAAACAGCGCTGCTTTACCCCACATACGCACGACCGGAAGGAGCGGAAGCGCTCGACTGTGGCATAATTAAAGCTCCGCTGCTTTACCCCACATACACACGACCGGAAGCGCTCGACTGTGGCATAATAAACTCCCATGATTCCACACTCCGTCACGGCTTCATCAAACTACGCCTTGGTCTATTTGTTTATTTTGAATACGCGCCCTCCAGCGGCGAAAATTACGTATTGTGCCTTTAAGCCAGTTTTGCTTGTGGATGAAATATTTCGCATATAAAATAAAGACATTAACAACATATTCAAGAGATGACGATTTTGATACTTCATAATAATAAAAAAAATATCTTTAAGGATAAAACTGTGGGGCACATTAGTAGGGTTAAAAATATAAAAACTTAAATCAACCCAAAATGTATTGGTTAGGCTATACTACAATTCACATATTAAAAGGGCAGCTGTGTCTTCAACGAGAACACAAAATGAGCAGATTTCATCAACATCAAAATATTTACAGATCAACTGAACCTGTAGCTCATATAACGCATTCAGGCTAAGAGTAGAGCTCGTTAAGTACTTAATTGTAATTAAGCGTCTACTGATTGGTGCATCGGTTTCTGACGCATCCAGTCTGAGCCGCGCGGAGGGATATTAACTGTGCGGCAGCGCCCTCTAGAGGACAGAACTACCGCACAAACAGCACAAGAGATCACTCCGTACACATAGATGGACGAACGAGATACAATTCAGCTGCTAAGTTTTTTAATTAAAACAAAAACAAACAAACAAAATACACAGAAGTGCTCATTGTACTAGAGCAGGTCAAGTACAAATGCTTCACAGATCACAATACAAAATGTTTTTTAAAAAGCCTCCAGTTTTAACTACTGTAACAAAAAAGAAAAGAAAAGGTGGTTTATGTCAAATCAATGATTTCCCCAATGTTACATCACATCATTTCCAACAGATACCAACCTGCACAACTTCCACATGTCCCATCAGCGCACACACACACACACACACACACAATTAACAATTACACAATGCAAATTATAAGTTTGCAGTTAGCACCCATATCTAAACTTGAAAAGGTTAAGAAAATTGAGCTCCTCTTTTCTTCAACACTTCAGGAATCGCAGATTATTGTGAAAGTGTATTCCAGTTTGTGAATTGTAAAGTCCACCATCAGCATGCAATATTAAACTTGAAAGCTTGCATGCTTTATTTACCGGCCTAAAATATGTTTTAAAATATTTCCAGTCATTTCAACAATTTAACCGTGCCTTTTGCAACATTTTAGGCTTAAAATATAGATTTAGATAAGCAACATTTGAATTTGAGCATTAAAATGGGAGAAAAAAAACATGAAAAAGCAAACCATCAGTCAAATATAAATCCCATTGTAGTCGAGGGAATGTGCATTTGGACCGCGCCTGTAACCAAACACATCTGGAAGAGCAATATAAATGATGGACGATGAAAGGAAGTGACGTCACAGCGCTCTCCAGGAGCATAAAACCAGCACTCTGCTTTGAGGAGACGTTCAGGATTAACAGTAATTCCTTACAGCACATCTTTAATGCCCACTGAAGTTCACACACACATCACATACCCGCTGATCTTGTGAACACTTACAAACCAACCACTGCATCCTTCCCATGATCCTCTCCACCTCACTAGTAACATACAGAAACCTTCGAAACACCTCGCAGACTCTTGACACGCACCCAAAACCCTTGAAATTAAACCTAGAACAACATTCAGTAAAGAAACATGGCTGCTTTGTGCACTTCTCAATATGAAAACACAAAATTATCGTACACTGAAATTAATTTTTATACAAAAATACATGAACCTTCTTGACTTAGTGGTTAAACTACATGGAAACTTTTGTAAGCTGATGATTTGCACCAGAAAAGCAACATCAGGTAAAAAAAAAAGGCACATTTGTCCTGTTCTAGTCACAAAATACCATATTTCAAATGTTCACAGTGTTATTAAGACAATATCTATATATGTAAACAAATACCAGTTTATATTCTCACAGATCTCTAAATGACAGTAATACACTTTTGTGAGTAAATGTTGTCTACCGTTCCCTTAAAATCTGATTACAGCATAAACTGTGAATAATGCGAGTTACAAATGGTCCAGACATCAGCACACGTTTCCACACACGCAAATATATTTACACATATATACACCGGCAATATGAATGAGTTGAGCGAGTTAATCTTATCATGGGTCAGTTTAAACAGCCCAGTGGAACTGACTAGTGGTTTACCCATCAACACCTGACGTAACAGTTTAAAACCATACAGCGAATTAAAAAAACAAGTAAGAATTCACACATTAAATGAAAATTGGTCTCAACTTTTAGTATGTTAAAACAATACAGAATATAAAATAAATAAATAATTAAAATAAAAACTATCTCCTCTGGTCGTCTAGAGTGAAGTCTTCTATTCGGGCAGAATTCACAATATAGACATATAAGGCACTGGAAAATAAGCAGAGATTTATGCATTGAGCCTTTTTCAACAAGATAATGACTGCATTTATAATAACAAAAGACATTAAGATGATATTTAGAACAAATTCACACATCTGAAATATACAACAAAAACAATACAAAACAAAAAAATTAAACGAGTAAATAAATATCACACTTTTGAAACAACACAAAAACACAATAAAACCAAAGCAAAAAAAAAAACTAAATGCAACAAAATCAAAGAAAAGCAAAAAATAAATAAATAAAAACAAACCAAAACACATTAAAACAAAAAAACAAATGAAATTAAAATAAAACACAAAAGCAAAACAACAACATTAAAACGGACTAAAACATTTTTTTTTTAAACAAATAAAATTAAAACAAAACTTGAAAAACAAAAAAAATCAAAGCAAAACTAATTAAGACAAAGCAAAAAAAACAAACAAACAAATGAAATAAAAACAAAAATACTAAGCACAACAAAAAAAGAAAACAAAACCAAAGCAAATATAAAACACAACATAAAACAAAACCAAGATGAAAGCAAAACAAAACAAACAAACAAAGGCTGGAATACAATACACTACACGACTTTTGCCCCATTTCCCCCCGATTTACTGAAATCTGTTCAGATTTGAAAAGTCGTGTAGTGTTTTCCAGCCTTGAGTAAATAACTGATGGCATGCATCTGTGTGTGAGATCAGTAAACTGCTGCTGACCTGAACCCGGTGCTGAGGGCATTCAGCTCACTGGATCACAGCTGATGTTCTCCTTCCCCCTCCGGTCTGCGGCAGGCTGGCTCCCCAAAACCTTCTTCTGCATTTAAACACGGCAACACTCATTACACACACAGTTTATGCACTTACACATGCACTCTTTCACACACTGAATGCTGCAGTGTTTTTATAGCACAGCCCCTTTAAACTACTTTGCTGCATCACTTTGTAGCTGCCAGTAGACTGAACTAAAGGACACACAGGTGCACTTGGAGAGATGCCACCATCACCTTTGATTACTTATGTGTTATCATCTGAAGCAGAGATAGGGATCTGACCTTGATAAGCCCACCGAAGGAGCGCGAGCGCGCGTGTTTTTTACTGGTAGGAGTCGTGTTCTCACTCACAGGAGTGCCAGGAGTCGACTGCTTGCCAAGCTGAAACGATTAACAGCGACACAGTCATCACAGCAGAAATGAGATTAGAGAATAACTATAAAATGACACTTTTTTTTTGTAATGAATCACCAAATAAATAACAAAAATGCATACTAAGAGAATTTTTTTAAAATTCTATATCTACTGTATATTAATATGTTAATAATGCTTATCGCAACAGAATAATAAGAATAATTGTAATAGTAATAATAATAATAATAATAATAGTAATTTTTAAATAAAATAATTATAGTTAAATGAACAGTAAAATATTTTTAAAAAGCCAACTCAAGTGGTCTGTTGTAATTAGTATATTAATAAAAAATAAAATTGGGTTTAAAAAAACCTACACAATGTAATTATTGTAAAAATGAATGGCAACATAATTAAAAAGCCACCTAAAGAGGTCTGTTGTTATTAAAATAATAATAATAAAACAATTTATATTTGTCGTTTTTGAAAAAAACAAAAAACTAATTTAATAAAACCACATGAACCCATGAAAGGACGCAGTGTGCCGTCACCTGTCGGATGAGTTTTTTCTTCTTGGCGGAGTTTGGCATGTGATGGGTGACGTGTCGATAGAGCTCTCGGAGCGCCTCTTCAGCGTGACTGTCCGAGTCTGACCGCACTCGTGCTGCGCTCCTCTTCCACGCCGACATGAACGGAGAACCGCCGACTGACAGCAGCTCCAGATCATCCTGACAGCACACACAAGAGCATGATCACACTCGTGGATAAAGCAGTCAATGAAGAACCAACACACATGCCACAAACCTTGGAGTGAATCATGCTGGTGTCTGCGAACTGAAGTCTCGCATGTTCCCTCAGATACACCGGTGCCTTTGCAAGAGAGAAGAAAACAGACACGGATTTGACTCGACAATCAGGGAGACAAAAGCTCCTACACATGCTTTAAATGTTTAAAGAAGATAATGTCATGTGAGTGTTGTTAGTGGTAACTAAAACTATTACAAATCATTTTTTAAACAAAGCTGAAACAAATCAAAATATAAATATTAGATGAAAAAACCTAAACTTGAAAAACTTAAATGAAAATTAGAAACGTTTCCTTAGAAACTAACTGAAATATGTTTAAGCTGAAGTAGTAAAATTATTAAAATAAAACATTAAAATGAAAATAAAGCTAAATATAATTTTTTTTTTTTTTTAAATACAAAAGTACATAAAATTACAAATGTTTCTTTGGCAAGCAATTGAAATAAAAAAAGTTGAAGTACTAAATTCACTAAAACTAAAGCTGAAATAAAAATAAAGCTAAAAATATTTTTTTCTTTCTTTTTTTTAAACTTATAAAAATGACAAAAGCACATTACAAAATTAGAAATGTTAGGTTAAATGTTAGTAACTGAAATAAAAAAGTTGAAGTTCTAAAATTAAAACTAAACTAAAGCTGAAATAAAATAAAGCTAAACAAATATATATATATATATATATATATAAACACACACACATAAAAACACCTTCATAAAAATGGCAAAAGCACATAAAATTAGAAGTGTTTCATTGGGAAGTAATTGAAAATAAAATAATAAAATAATATATATTAATGTTAAAGTACTAAATTTACTAAAACACTGAAATAAAAATTAATTAAATATAAATATTTACATAAAAATATAAACAAATGACAAAACTACAAAATCGACAAAGGTAAAATTAAAAACTGAAATCAAAGCTTATTCAAAAATATGAATAAATACTACAAAAGCATACAGATAATACTAAAAGAACACTGTGCCACGTTAATATGATGTTGTTTTCCATCTCATCAGTATGTGCAGATAAAAAGTGTCATGGGAAAAGTACCCGAAAGATCTTCTGTGAGTGTTTGATGAGAAACGCCATGCCGCTGTTCAGTTTCTTCAGGTTCTCCTGAAGGTCAGTGGCATTCATCTGAAGAAAGCAGCACATCACACATGAAACATGATGCCTGAACCAAAATAAAAACTGAACTAAAACCAAAAAGATCTCAATGATACCAAAATAGCACGTTTAACAATTAAACAGAAAGGAGGAAGAAGGAATGGCGCACGTTGTTGGGCCAGATGACGTGGGGGGCGAACATGAGCGCGAGGTTGTGCGCAGACATCCTGTTCTTGTGCTGTTGTTTGGCGGTGTGGTAGAGCAGGTCCAGCAGCAGCTTGAGCAGGCTTCGGTTAGCGGTGGGCAGCAGCATCAGCAGCAGCTGTAGCGCCTCGATCTGACGCTCTTTATCCGGCAGACTCGTCTTATTGCCGAGATCGTCGAACAGGCTGAGCTCTGTCCAGACGCAGGTGCAGAGTGATTATGAGCGGTCAGTGATGGGCAGGATGGGTGAGGTTTGGACTGATCAGACACACCTGTGATCTTCAGGTGAGCGTGCAGGTGCCGCTGGGTCAGCAGGGGCTCGGGCAGCTCTCCCAGGAAGCTCTTGAGGAGCGTGGCCACATCGTTGGGATGGAAGTCACCGGAGGAGAAGTCGATGTCGGCGCCGCTGTTGAGCTGCTCTCTCAGCGTCTGCTGTCTCAGGCTGTTGCCAGGAACCCGAAACAGACCCTCCACATGCAGATCTGCAGGACAACAACCAGCTCTTCATAGCTTACTTTGCATACATTCATGTTATTCATTCAAAAAAGACAAATTATAGTTGGTTAAAACAAAATTGTGCATTTAAATACAGTCACATTTACCCTTGTTTGGCAACATTTGGCGAGCAAAATTCAGTCATTTCAACAGAAATCCATGCAATCAGGAAATTTGACGTGATATTAATAATAATCACGATAATGTCAAAAACGACAGTAATAAGCATGTTTTTTAATAAATCACAGACATTATAAATAATAAATATGATAAATAATATTAAATCTCACCAATTATAGCACAAAGGTATGTAGTGTAGCGTTAATATAATAATAGTAATGATAATGATAACAATAATGGCATGATATATTTTATTTTAAATAATCACAAAAATATAGCAAAAATGTACATAGTGTAGTATTATAGTGTTAATAATAATAATAATGGCATGATATATATATTTCTTTTAAATAATCAAAAAAACTATAGCAAAAAATGTACATAGTGTATTATCATCGTGTTAATAACAACAATAATAATGGCATATATATATATATATATATATAATTTGTTTTTAAATAATCACAAAAAAAATCATAGCAAAAATGTACGTAGTGTAAATTTTGCAAGCAATACCAAGTTAATTCAATAGAAATATGCAGTCAGGAAAGTACAGAAAATAATTATAGTGAAAATCTACAGTAACTAGGGCTGCACGATTTGGGGAGAAAATCTAATTGCAATTTTTCCGGTTAAAAAATTGCGACTGTGGTTTAAAACGCGATTTTTAAAACAAACAAACTAAAAATATTAAAAAACATCAGGTTTATTGTGCTCGTCTGTAGGGCTGCACAATTTGTCCTAAAACGTTGTGCTTATATATCAATATGACTCAAAATAATTATTTTGATTATTATTATTAATAAATAAAGACATTAAACAAAATGAGATATTATATAAAGATATTATAAAATACCTGATTATTGTAATAAAACGATTTCATTATAACAACAAAATTGAATATAATAGTAACAATAATAATTACTATTTTATTTTACAGAGCACTTTATTTTATGGAAAATCCACACAATCAGGAATTCAGCATCAGGATGAAGACGGTCGCGTGAATTGCAGCGTTGACCGACAGAAAGCTGCTGGTTTGAAGGGGACTTTCAATGTGAGCTGTGCTTCGTTCAAGTTCAACCCACTGCTCCGGGTGTGTGTTCACGGTGTGTGTGTGTTCACTGCTGTGTGTGTGCACTTTGGATGGGATAAATGCAGAGCACTAATTCCGAGTATGGGTCACCATACTTGGCCACATGTCACGTCACATGTCACGTCACTCACTTCAAGTGTCCAAATACTTTTGGGGGCCTCTGTATTTAATTACAGTCATTAGGAGTCATTAAAGAGTCACTAAGGGTCCTAGAAGCGCTGTATATCTGAAACTCACTTTTGCTGAGGAACACGATGAGTTGATAAATCTGAGCTATTCCTTCCTCTGTGAGAGGCATGCCGAACACAACACCTTTGTCTGGAGAAGAAAAGATGTAAACCAGTTAACAATTAAACATCTCTTCAGCAATAACGTAATTTTTCAACACATTTATTACATTTGATGTTATTACATTAAGCTTTCTAAAGACTATATTCCATTGACAGCCTTAGTTTGTAACAAATTAATTTTTCATATATATTTGCATATTTTTGCTTGCTCACTAGGAACCGGAAGTCAATATTCTCTGCATAAAAATGGTACTATATTTATTGTAAAAACTAAATAAATAATACATTTGATGTCAAAATATTTCTATTCACCTGTATAAGCTTAACATTACTTAGTGTGAAGAAAAATACAACACTGTCAGTCTAATCAGAGTTCATTACAATTATAGATGGATTTAGTGGAATAAATTAAATAAACATATCATGAAATTATTAAATACATCATAAAATATTGCAACAAATCCATTTCGTATAATGTAACTTAAAAAATGTCTTGAAATTAAAAACCTCATGACAAAGTTAAATATACCTTGAAATAAAACGTAGCAGACAACAAAGTAAACATATCATGTAAAAATGCCAAATCTATATGACAAAGCATATTTTATGTCATTTTTCATTTCATTTGGGAACCAAATACTTTTGGTCACACAGAAACCAATCAGGTCCTGACTTTAGTTTCGCTCATTACTGTTGACTGCATTGAATCTAGAGCCGGCTAGTCAATAGCAAAACCCAACGGCAGGAAACTAACTTGAACAGCAATCGGTAAACTTCAGAGAACTTCCCAAAACAGATGACGTAATTCTCACACTGAAGGTTATTCAATAGTTTCTGTCAATAGCGTCTGAAATCTTCCCACAGAAGAATCACCGGTGCCTCCACAACAAGCTCAAAGGCATATCGACAACGGCCTGGTTGTAAATTTGTAGGAAGCATGAGGACGAATTAATGCCCACTGCAGGCTGAAACAGAGAAAGCAAAGGAAAAGGAATACACAGTCAATGGAAACTGGCAACAATGCCCAAAAACCCTCTGACCTTTGCGTTTGAGGAAGTTGAAAGAGCGGAAGAAGCCTCCGGCTGCAGTGGCGTTGGGCATCTTGGGCTCCTCGTCCAGTAGCTGTGAGAATTCGGCTCCCGGGAGGTGGATGAGCCGCGTGATGTTGCTCAGCACCAGCTCAGTGAAGGCCTCGGGCCGCTCGTGACGCAGCTTCTCCACGAAGAAGTCAGGGTTGAAGATGATGGGCGGCCGGCCGTCACCACTGCCGCCCGTTTCTGACTCCTGACTGATCACAACATTGCACACCGTGCCCCTATATATGCACAAATACATGAGTTCCTGACATCATGCTCGTTTTATTGTTTAGCTAATTATCAGTTTATATATATATATATATATATAAAAAAAAACATTGAACATGCAATTAAACATACAGTGACTTAAATAAAAATTTTCCATTATAAGAACGTTTTTAATTTCTGAATTAAAACATAACTTTTATATTTTTTGAGAGGCATAAAGTAAAAATGTCAGGGTGACATAACTGTACTTTTATCACAGTAAATAAAAAAAATAAAATAAAGAATTCTTATTATTCTTTCTTAAATATATATTTAAACAAAACTGCGTCACTTTTCATTAATACCTTTAATTAATGTAACTTTTGTCATGTGGTGCAACCAACCTGCAACAACAGGAAATGGCAGGAAATGTGAGTCAAAGTCAATAAATCTCTTAAAATATCCAATAATGTAAATAAACTAAGCCAAGGTTGGTTCAGGCTTAAAATGTCATGCGGTGCGACTCAAAAACTCAATATTTATGAATTAATAATTCATGATATTTGTAAAAAAATACTTTTCAAAATACACTGAAAAACATATTTTAAAATTTCGAAAATAATGACTAAGATGTGACACTCACATATATTCAGGATGTAAGAAAATTTTTATTTCTTTTTACTTGACAGTTACACCACATGACATCAAAATGAATCATTACTTTTCTTTAGTTTAGTTATATATATATATATATATATATATATATATATACACACACATATATACACACACACACCATATAATACAAATACTAAATTTGAGATTTAACTTGGCATGTGTGTTTAAAACTAGATTTTTTTTTCCTCTTCTTTTGAAAGCCATAAACTGTAAATGAACATATAATTTGTCATGGTGAAACAAGATTATATTAGATTATATACAAGAAAAATTTTCATATTTTGATCTTGCTCACTGGGGACTGGAAAGCAATATTCTTTCTAGAAAATATTACTATACTTATTGTAAAAAGTGCAATGTAAATAACACATTTGACATAAAAAAAAAATTTCTTCACAACATTACTTATGTACCTGATGTTCCTGTGGCTCAGTGGTAGAGCATTGCGTTAGCAGCGCAAAAGGTCGTGGGTTCAATTCCAAGGGAACACACATACTGGTAAAAAATGTATAGCCTGAATGCACTGTAAGTCGCTTTGGATAAAAGTGTCTGCTAAATGCATCAATTAATTAATTAATTAATTAATTACTGTGAAGAAAAACCTGTCAACTTAATACAAAATAAATATTTTCCTGATAATTATTTTAATAATTTGCTTTGTTGTCAGTGCAGTTATGGAGGGATTTAACAGAATAAGTTAAATAAATAAATATATAATGAAATTAATTATGGAATATGCCATGGAATATTTAAATAAATAAAGTACAATGAAATGCATGCAGAAATAAGTCCTGAAATGCACTATTTTCAAGTCATCAAACTGAATGATTAAATATATAAATAATTTAATTATATAATACAACTTGTGTATACTATATATATTTTTTTTTTATGGTATACACAAGATGTTATATCATATGATACAAACACTAAATTTTCCTCCTTTTCTGAAGGCCGTGAACCGTATATATGAACATATAATTTGTCATTTTATCTAGAAAAGACAGTGTTGGAAGTCTTGATTGCTTTGGGGCACGTACAGAACAGAAGCGATTAGGTATTATGTATTTTGAGAATTTCAAAACATCAAAGACTCCACAATGACTGTAATCACATGACATGAACTGTTGCTCTCTATAATCGGTCTTGTTCTGTTGTTGGCATTTCTCTGTACCAAGCATTACGTTACCATGGTCAAACGCGTTGAAAACATGTAAGAAGCTTTCTGAATCCTGCTGTCAACTTGGATTCACTCTTAATGTGATGGCAACGAAAAGTATACATGGCAAACCCGCAGTACTCTGATATTTATCATATTCTGGAAGAATCCCACATTCATTTCACCGCGGAATTTACACGCTTTTCTACGGTTCGTCAAAGAACACCATAGTAACGTTACTTTGTGTTTATGCCCATTCAAAGTTACCACACAAAGTTTTCTACCTCAGTGCTTCCACCCAACAACGTCTTTGCAGTTATTCAAACGTGTAAATATTTCACTGTATTTTCAGACTATATGTGTTTGGCTAACACGTCTGTAAATAAATATTCGTTACCTTCGGTCTCCTTTATTTACATCGGTGTCTTTCTCCGCGGCCATCTTTCATCTTCCGTTTGAATCCGCCGCTGCTGAGGCGTTTACCGCTGCTTAATCATGATTGGACAATTCAGGGAAAGTGGGAGGGGCTATGAGTTTGCTGAGCGCTGATTGGTCTATTCAAATGTTTCAGAGATATACAGATCTGGGAACAGCCGTGAAGACGTCGTCGATCTTCTTTCTTTCTGCATGCAGGTTGTCGTTTAAATCTGATTATATAAAAGGGACCCTTTAAATGTGTAATATTAATTTATATTTCAATATAAGTATTTCTTATTTTTTCATTGATGCTAAAATGTTAACACTGAATGTTGTCGTAATTAGAAAAGGCTGCTTGCAGTGCCAAAACAAATATTCAGCTCGCTCATTGTGCTATAATCAACATGAATTTAATACTTCATATGAGACATTGATCTCTTTATAAAAGGATTCAAAGTCTAGATTGAATCAAAGTCAGGTGTGAAGTATAAGTGTTATGATTTAGATTTTTGAACATTTATAGAAATACAATCAACACTTTTGTGCATAGCAGTCATGAATTTATTTGTTAACATAAAAAAATCAATAAATAAACTTGAGACGGTTGACAAAGCTTAAACATCTTAGCAAACACATGGAAAGTCCACATGGAATATGCATCATCTACTCAAAATTGTATAGTAGTCTATAAATTATATTTAATCTATATATATATATATATATATATTTGCTGTTTTAAATCTGCTGCAAAAATGCTGTTTTAAAAGTAGCCAAATGCAATGTTTGTCTTGGAAATAGACTACATTAACAGAAATAAGTAAAAATTAAAAGAATAAATAAATATAAATATATAAATGTATTTATTTGGGAGAATGTGAAACATCATTAGTGCGAATCTAGCAAAAACTATTCCACTTTTGCATAGTTTATGTCATGTCAAATTTCACCAATTCTATTATGCATATACATATATTTTAAAGTAGTGTGTTACAACACAATCTAAATAAATTTGATCTGACATGAATAATTTTTGTATATTTATAGGATTTTCACACATTCCGTTCTGCAGGAAACATAATAGTGATATGATATAAGGTGTTAGTGCACTTAAAATAGTGTATTTAGAAATCTAATTTAGAGAATCTCATTTTTAAGAGCCTTTTTTGTTGAATTGGCTTAATATATCTCTTCACATTATATTAAAAGAAAAAAACAACAATGCAAAGACAGTGGCATATAACAGCTGATCTTCAAAGACATGATTTCATCCTCAGGGTAACATAACATGGCATGCTCGTATTGCACCTGTTCAGGTGTTCACTGTCAGTCTTTTTTGTAGGTGCGAGATGGAGGAAGTTATCAAGCAGACGCCACAACAGATCAAACATTGCTGCTGTTGAGAAATATTTGCCAAAGATCAGCATGCAGAGCTAAATTACGTGATCCAACATCTGCATGGACTCCATGATGGCCTCATCCTGAACAAAAATAGTTATTAAAAAAAACAAAGAACATATTAAAGGAATAGTTGAATGAGGATGACAAAAATTAAAATGTGCTGAAAATCCCCTCATCCTCAGGCCATCCAAGATGTGGATGAGTTTGTTTCTTCATCAGATTTGGAGAAATGTAGCATTACATCACTTGCTCGGCAATGGATCCTCTGCAGTGAATGGGTGCCGTCAGAATGAGAGTCCAAACAGCTGATAAAAACATCACAATAATCCACAAGTAATCCACACCACTCCAGTCCAATCATTTAACGTCTTATGAAGCCAAAAGCTGCGTTTATAACAAATTCATCAAAGCATTTTTAAATTCAAACCATTGCTTCTTGCTAAAATGTCTGTGTATTTTGATGTGAGAGACAACAGGAGATGGACTCTTTCACTGGAGGAAGTGTTATCATGGTTTATGGACTCGTGTATTTTGGCCAGAAGTTTCAAGTTAAAACATCTTAATGATGGATTCGTTTCTTCCAAACATGCAGCTTTTGGCTTCACAAAACTTTAATTTTTGTGTGGATTACTTGTGGATTATTGTGATGTTTCTATCAGCTGTTTGGACTCTCATTCTGACGGCACCCATTCACTGCAGAGCATCCATTGCTGAGCAAGTGATGCAATGCTACATTTCTACAAATCTGATGAAGAAACAAACACTTCTTGGATGGCCTGAGGGTGAGAACATCTTCAGCAAATTTTCATTTTTGGGTGACCTATCCCTTTAAATATCATTGCAGGTCTTGTACAGTAGGTATCAACCTAAGTAGTTTCTAATGCATCTTTATAATGAGTAATCACATTCACATTCTAAAAAAAAGGCATTTACATTTTATACCAAAAGCATAAAAAATTATAGAAATAATTAGTTTTCATGTCATCCTTGTACCTTTTGACACGACTCCAGGAACTCCTCCATTGTGACGACACCATCATTGTTGCGATCCATTTTCTGAGTGCAAACAGATAAACGATCAATAAATGAATAATTTGAGACCTATTGCACTAGAAACATGGCAAGCATTAGAAGTTTAAAAGAAAGAATAACAAGAATAAATGCTAGTTTTCTTTTTATGTTTTGGTTTTTTTGCCGCTCACCGTGCATTTATTTGATCAAAAACACAGTAAAAACAGTAATATTGTGAAATATTTTTACAATTTAAAATAACAGTTTTCTATTGTAATAAGTTTTAAACTGTAATTAATTCCTGTGTCTAATATGCTGATCTGGAGTTTTTGAAGGTACCTGGAAGAAACTTTCGACATGTTCTCTAGGTGCGCTGTCCTTCATACACGGATGTGTATACGTCCCCATCAAATCATAAATAGACTTCATAATATCATTCATCTCCTAAAACAGACAGAATAAATTAATGAATACAGTAATGGATTCACATAAATGGCCAGATTCTGCACCGGAATAAATGTTAGAATACACAGTTTAGTGTGAAACTAGTCTATATATCTGTGATACTGTACCTCTTTAGTGATGCATCCATCTTTGTTGAGATCATACAAACTAAAGGCCCAACACAGTCTATCAGTGACGGTACCACGCAAGATGATTGACAGGCCAGCCACAAAATCCTGAAGCCAACGAGAAATACACCAGTAAGTGTAAAAGAAAGAATAATTTTAATATGCAACATTATGAAAACAGCGAATCATCTGCTGATTTGGCTATAAAATAGCATTTTTTTGTGTGAAAATAATAATAAAAAATAAATTGCTAATATACCATAAAATACATGCAAATGAATTTAAAATACTTTACAAATTTTACATAGTTATTATATATTACTATATGCTTTTGAATGAATTAAGTATATGGTATATGAATTACATTTATTCATATTAAGTATATGAACAGCAAACTGACCTCAAAATTAACTGCTCCGTTTTTGTGTTTGTCAAAAGCCTCAAACAGGAAATGAGCATATGCACTAGAATCTTCAAAAGAATTAAAAACACAAGACTGAAACATCAAACTCAATTTGGGAAACACAGAGGGATTTATCAAGGCCTCTTTAAATTCAATTAATTCATAGAGTTGGAACATAGAATTACAATAGAATTAATATGGTTGGAACAAATGAACTGATTTAATTAGGTTTATGCATTAATTCACTCACCTCCATGAGGAAAAAAGTGAGAGTAGATTAACTTAAAAGTCTCTTCATTTACTAATCCAGTGGGACATTCCTACAGCACATAAAAATAGTCATAAACAAAAATATGTGGAAAATATTTCAGTATTTAAAATATATTTAATAACAATAAAACGATTTGAGAAAATAATTGTAAAAAGGGACAGAGACCTTCGATATGTATCCAACACAGAAAGAAGAAAACTTCGTAAGCGTAACCTAGCCATGTCACGGAAAACCCAACCCGATTTCATGAGAAAACGTAAGTATTTTACGAAGTTGCAATTTCGTACAAATTCATACAACGTGGAAAACGCATTATTTGTACAATAAAAAGCTAAGTGTGAATCCATGGGCATGAGCTGGTCGTACAAAAATGTAACGTAAAATAGTTACGTAAATGTAAAATATAGGGATGCACTGATACCGATACTGGTATCGGTATCGGGGCGAGTAAACTGTGATAATGTGAGAAATGTTGAAGGTGTCTGAATATATTTTGGTTTGACTGTATCTATTTGATAAATGAAGTTAACCAACTAACATTATACATACCCTTTTGGTTTCTATACCCAATATTTAAAAAATTTACAAATGCAATAAAAATATTGGTATCGGTACTCGGTATCGGCAAGTACCAAAAATAAAAGTATCGGTATCGGGCGAGTACTGGAAAAAGTGGTATCGGTGCATCCCTAGTAAAATAGTTACGAATTATCATGCGACTGTGCTGGGAAAAGCACGTTTTTGCAAAGAGTCTGTCAGCAAACCCACAAACCACGAGTAATCTTTCTTAGTTCACATGTGGCGAAACTAGCCAATCACAACAGAGGTGATTTAAATTTAGGAGTCTTAAAGGTACAGTAACCCTTTTTTTGCTTGTTCAATTCTAAGTGTCGGAGAGCAGAAGATACACATTTATATGTATATATAAATATATAAACTTATTGTAGAGTCCATTAATAGATCAAACCGGTAGGGAGCTTACAAAGATCATTAAGGGAAAAGTTTCTTACATTTTTGAAACTTCTATAGAGGATTTGTAGCTCTGTTTTAGTGAACTTGGTCTGTTCCAACATTTTTTCCAGACTATCCGGCCTGCAGCACACAGTGGCAAGCTCAAAATCCTCCTCTATACTGTCTACATGACAGATGAAAACATAAACAAATTACACATAAAACTAAAAGCAATACTGAATTCATTTTAGAGATATATGCAGCAAGAACATGCAGAAAGGAAAGCAACAGCGAGTCGGTCACTTGCTTTGCCTGACTGTTGGTGTGGAGTCCACATGACAGCAGGGCAGAAGTCTGAGGAAGCGCTGTTTCATGTTCTTTTTGCTCTGGCCTGAGGGAGGCTTACCTGCAAACACATTGGGAAACTGCTTAGATGTGCAGAA